CTCAGGTAATATTCTTTCCTGTAGAACCTAGCTTTGGGCACATTTCTGTGCTATTTGTGGATGTGATCTTAAAAGCAAGGTCCAGCTTAACACAACAGGCGGATTCTGCTCAAAGTGCCCTGCATCAACCTCCTCCTGTCGCAAAAGCTCTTACAGGGATACTGAGTGTCTGGGTTTGGACACTTCTCTTTTTAGCTTCAAGTAAGAGAGAAGAAAATGATAAACCAATTTCTGACGCTATGCCACAGGTACCTCTTTTCCATTCTATAAGCAGTTGGTCTGAAAGCAAATCTTGAGATGAACCAGTGCCAACGACTCAGGTGTGACAATACCTCTAACAAAAACCAGCCACTTGTACATCTCCCCACGACTGTCATGACCACATCTGTTTGTGAATTAAGCTCCAGAACTCAGCAAAGACAGGAACACTCAGAACCCAACGATATTTTCCGTTAAGGGCGCTCACTAGTAGAACGCAGCCCACATACATGAATACGCTCGACGCCCACATACTCTGTCTGGTCCCAGCAGGCCATCTGAGAGCTGCTGCAGGAAGAGCCCACCCTCTGATCGCCTAAGCCTAAAATTAACATAAATACAATTTTTTCAGAGCAGAATTTGGCAAGAAGTAACACAAACTTACAAGGGCATACCAAATAACCATTCCATTTCTGGGAATCCATTCCTCTGAAATACTAGCATAAAGCACAGAGGATACATGCACAAGGGTGCTCCATACACCAGCAGCATCTCTAACAGCAAAAACAAGCCAGATAACCTAAACTGCCATCAACAAAGACAACACCTCGCAACTCCTAAATAAAAAATAAAGTAAATCCTTATATACTGACATACAAAGATATCTACTGTATACTACTCAGGAAATAATATGCACCACATAATATCATTTTGGTAAAAAAAATAAAAAAAATTATGTGTTTGTAAGTGTACCATAAAGACATAGAAACATGGAAAATACATAACTGTTTAACAGTGTTTATACCAATGTTACTGAGATTGGGGAGCAGACAAAAAGGAGAACTTACACTTTTACCATCTATATTACTACAATTTAGATTTTCCTTGCATGAGCATGTATTACTATTCAATACATTGCAATTCAAAAATAAGTAAAGTGAATCCTAATTTCAAAGAAATACAAATAGAGGAATGTGACAATTTCCCTTGGACACGTATCTCTTCTGATACAATTTGAAAACTTAATCACCTATCACTTTTGGACTAATAAGAAATCTGTAGCTATGGGAAATTAATTTTTTTGAAAAGTCCATTCATTTTACATGATTTAAATTAAAATTTTAAAAATTATACTTTTATACTCAGGAGTCATTAGTAATAACTTATAGCATTTTGTTTAATACCTACTCTTTTCTGATATGAACCCTGTCTTGGTCTTCTCTAAGAGAGAATGTAGCTGGGAGGGTGGTCTTAATTCATTTTCACCAAGTACACCCCCAGAATTCTTGATATAGTCCTGTTCTCTGTTAATGTCATAAATGCTAAAATAAAAAAGAAAAAATTAAATCATAAAGTGAATAGTTCTATTTCTAGCATATCTACTATACAAATAAACGTCTACTGAGCATCTAATTTACACAAGGCACAATTTTATGTTTCCCTTTGACAAGTCTCCAGCGCTAAGGGCTAAATTTGCTCTGAAAGAAATAACATGCATGAATTGAAAGCTTTTCCTCCAATTCTTTAACTTCTAAAGAAAATTTTCTTCACAGAAATAAGTTATGCTTATAGGAATCAGTTTTGCCTCACTGAAAAAAAACTTTCAAAATAAGATTATAGGACCATAGCTCTGTTCTACTGGCTGGAAATAATTAAGTCAAATAGAACATAATTAAATAAACTCTCTCCCCATCCCTAAATAAGTATGTGGTTCACCCGTTCACTAAACAAAACTAGCAGTGGTGACTATTACATATTCAGTACTACGCTATGCCCTGGATTTTGTGGACAAATGAGAAAATGTCTCTACAACGAAAGCTCTTAGACTAGAAAAGGAAGATAAAAACCTATAAAGAAACCAGTACTAAGCACTGTAGGAGAATCTGGAACGTGACTCAGAGGGCGTATGATGGTAGTCACCCAGGTGACCTGTCAGGAGACACTTTCGAGAGGCATGGATACTTGAAATCTGAGAGCGTATTCAAACGTAAGGAAGCTGAAAAGCAGCACTGGTGTACATGTTTTCAAGGCACTAGAAACAGGAGCAAACGCAGAGGTAGAAACGTGACACACATCAAGACTACAAGCAGTTCATTATTTTTGGAATTCAAGATGCTTTACCAAAAAAAATAGCACATATAGTTTTATAATAACACACTTTTTTCAAAAAGGATTTGAGGTAGAATTGTGTGGATATATTTAAGATTCTTTAGAAAAAGTCACAATACTGATGATATTCATTCATTATTTATGTCAAGAGGGGAGAATTAAACTGGGAGTCAGGAGACCAAGATTCTAGGGCCGACCTACCTCTAACTTGTTCTGAGACCTTAGTGTGATGATGTGTTGACTGCCTTCCCATGTCCCTTTTTCTTCCCTCCCTCAAACCACAACGGTGTTTAGACACCGTGGTGATCCCATGCTTCAGGAGTGGCTCGGGAGGGTGGGAGGTGAGGGCTGTGTGAGTATCAGTCACTCTATGTTCATTATGGTGACTCCACTCTCTTTGCTTAGTGATTGTTTCAGGAGTAAACATGTGACTCGATTCTGGCCAGAGATGTGAATGGACGTCTACAGAGAGGATTCTGGGGAAGTGTTCCCATAAAAGGACAGAAGATGCACTCTCCCCACCTTCATCTTATTCTACCTTTAAGAGTCTCATCTAAAGATGAGCTTGAGCCCAGAACTCCCCGCCACCAAGACTGGGTTGATCAGCCAACACACTGAGGATGGACCAGAACAGACAGAAAGAATCTATATCCTTGATGAAGTCCCTGAACTGTTGAATAAACTAACCTGGGGCTGTCTTGCCTCTGCGTCTTTCCAAAAGTGAAATAATAAATGTTCCTTAATTTTTAAACCACGATTACTGGCAGCTGAAAGCAGACTAACCATGGACTTTGTTAAATTATTTAGTCTAAAGCCTCCTTTAGTTGTGATCGTCCTTGTAAGGCTCCTTTCAGTTCACTTGTGACTCCACAAGTGCCTCACTGAAGGCTGTTACGCATGAGGCATCGCGCACTGCACCAGATGACAGATAATCGAAACTTAAAATACAAGGTGTTTAAAGCCTCTGGCCACTTGATTCCCACCCACGCAGTACACCTTCTCTCGCTCCCAGGCACAAGGCGAAGCGCCCCGGCTCAGGTCACTCTGCAGGTGGTTTCCCCCACTAGCTATACACAGTCTGATCTCATGCCCCTCCCCGCTTCATGTCCATGTTTTCCTCATGTTTAAAGCCCACCCTAAGACCTAGCTTCTCTGATGTCTTAAGATTTTTCCAGCTCACATTAGTTGCTCCTCACAAGTGTTCCACAGGTACTCACCATAGTCCTGTTATATGCATAGCTCTGCACTGGAGCAGGAGAAAACTGAAGACCAGGTGCCTACCTGAAAGAGTGGTCTTTAACCTTTGGGTCATAATTTCAGAATTATGTGTGAAACAACTGTGTTCAGGACAGTCTCCTCTACAGACTAACGGGGGGATGTGGAACACGTGATTAAGGGCTTGGACTTTGGAATCGAAAGGACATAGCAAGATAGGATTTTGAATCCATATCTTTCTAGTTTTGTGACTTCTGAGAAAGCCACTTAATCTTTTGTCCCTCTCTTTTTGAGAGTTAACATCAACAAAACATATAAACTAAATTAAAAGCCCAGTACCTACTAGGCTGACTAGTCACTGCCCCCACCCTCCCAGGAAGTCCTCTTAGGTGACCACTTTCAACTTTAGCTGTATCTTTTGGTTTAACTCTGTTCCTAAATAAAATACCCATATAAACTTTAGATATTCCTTTAATGAAAAACACCTCCCGCTGCCGCCCCCCAACACACTTCTGACCATGCTGTCATAGTTGCAGCCACGTTTTGTTATATCAGTACTCAGTGTTTCACTGCTGAGCCCCACTGGGTAGTCAATTTCCTTTTTTACATGTTGTTTTGTTTTCCAGAGTTTCAAATTACCTCTGCTTAATTTTCAGTTACCAATCATTATTCCAGCCTAAAAGTCTCCCAGAGAACTAAGAATCTCCTCTGAGTAGATAGATACAGCAAGTGTTTTTGGAGACGTCCTTCATGTAGCACATGTTGTCCAGCTTCAGTCTGCACTTGTGCACTCTACCGCTGCTGCTTGGCTTTGAGACCTTGCTGCGAGATGCTGAAATACAACACTGATCTACAGACGTCCAACACAATTCCAGTTTGTGGAAACTGATGACCTGGTTCCAAAATTTATATGGGAATTCAGAGGATTAAGGACAGCCAAAACAACTTTAGAAAAGAAGAGCAATGCTGAAGGGCTCACCACTTGATTTCAAGAATCACTACAAAGCTAAAGGAGTCAAGACCAAGGTGTCGATGCAAAGATAATGCATACAGAGAGATTAGATACTGGTTGGGAACACCGCCAACACAATAGGTAAAGACCATCTTTACAACAAATGGTGCTACAAGCACCAAAATGGAAAAAAAAAAATGAACTCCAACTCCTACCTCAAACCATAAAATTCAACTGGAAATGAATCACAGACCTAAACATAAAAGCTAAAACTATGAAGTTTCCAGAAAAGATCATAGGAAAAAAAATTCTTAACCATGATGTACGTAAAGATATCTTAGGACAAAAATCAGTTACCATAAAAAGAAAAACTGATACAACAGACTTTATGAAAATTAAAACCTTTTGATCTTCCAAAGAAGTCATTAAGAAATGAAAATATTTGCAAAACGCTTGTGTCCAGAATACATAAAGAATTCCCAGACACACTTCACAAAAGACGTAACACTGGAAAAAGGTCAACATTATTAGTTATCAAGGGGGCGCTAAATAAAATACTACTTGCCCACTAGAATGGCTAAAATTAAAAAGACAGAAAATACTCAGTGTTGACACGGACGAGAAACAACTGGAACTCTCATATATTCCTGGTAGTAAATCAAGTCTACCAAGACTTCCAGCAAATGGCTGGTGATCCTTGGCTGTCCATTTACGTTTAAGTGTGAGGCACTTAAAGCTGATGGGGCAGGGGTTGGACAGCTCAGTGACAGAGCACATGCTTAACCTGCATGAGGTCCTGGGTTCAATTCCCCAGTACTTCCTTAAAAAAAAAAAAAAAAAAAGGTTGACAAAGTTTGGTGCATGAACAGCGCGTCCTGACCGATAGTCCTCATCCTTGCAGGTGACCTGATGGTGATGTAGCTGTTCAGTCAAGCGAACCTGAAAAATCCGAGTCTGCTAAATATTCTGCCATGGGCTCTAAGTTTCCCCAGAAAAGAAACTTTATTATCTTGTTTAGGGGAAGTGTAAGCTTAACTATTAGTTCTGGGAACCACTCAGAAAAAGACAACTCTGGTTTCACTGTTGCATATGTTAATTTTCACTGAATCTGTATTCTCATTCAGGTGCCTCACCCCGACCTCAGTTGTCCAGCGCCTGCCCCGTTCACGTCTCCTGAGTATAAACCTTCCATCTTCTGTCAGGTAGAAGACAGACAGCTGTCTGGGTGTATGGAGTGAAGGGGATGGAGGGCATCAAAATTCTAAAAATCATCGATCAACCCTTTTATTTCTACTCCACCTGTATTCCTGACTCGAGAAGTACTTGGTACCTCCAAATCCTGAGCCTTTTCCAGGTTATGTGAGGGTATCAGCTTGCTTCTCTTATTGGCTTAGCTCTCTGCAGCATTCTCTAGTCCACTAAGTCATTTACAACTTGACCACCTTCTTTCTAGTTTCCCAAATATTGATTTCACTACCCTTTTTTAAAATCCCCATTTTTTAAATTAAAGAATCCAAATGACTTTGCGGTAGATATGCTGTTTGCAGATAATGAAGTAATTATGGGTAAGATATAAAACATAAATCTGAGGGGAAGAAAGCACTGCTTTGAAATTTTTTCCTTTAAATTCTGATGGAAAATTAAGAACATCTCCACTTGGGCTCGCATCTTTAACTGAGGATGAACTCAGCGGCCAATGGAAGGAGTCCACACCCTAACGGAGCAGCAAACTACAAAGTGCTCGTCCCCCATCAAGAAGCCGGTAACTTTGCATTTGATTTTTCCAGCTTGGCTCAGTTTCCAGCGTTTATGCTTGGGATTCCTAAAGTCCTCTTCAGCATTTAACTAATTCTCTGTTGATGGAAGGGGCTGGGACTGCTTCTCCACACGTAAACTGATCTTTGTCATTAATCACTTTTATAATGAGAAAGCAGCCAAGGCACGCTGCCACGTCTTCCCCCTTCTCCAAATCTTCCTTGGCGATGCAGAAGTTAACCCTACATGGGCAGGGGTAGAAGTACGTCTCCGAGTCCCTGTCATATTGGAAGTCCTCGATCCCCACCTCATCATGAAACACCGCTATCGTCACTGGGGCCAGCACAAGCCTGTCACCCCAGCCCTCCAACCCAGGCCGGGGCCAGTCTGACTTCTGATTTCACTATCTTCTCGTCTCTCGTTCTCTTGATCTTCACGGACTTACACCTTTATTCTTTCACTATAGTCTTAGTGGAATTTCCAGAGGGTGTGTACAATTGGACATGTCACAGACACAACTGGAAGTGTTTACTTAATGTAAGCCTTAATTTCTTCAATCAAAAAATGTGGAATATACCACCTACTATAGTCGCTACTATTACTATTATTTTTTATTTCAACTTTTATAATTATGAAGACCTCACTTTATTTACTTATATATTTATCACACACCTAATTACATATCAAATCTTCAACAAATATTTGATTAATTTAAAAGAATTAGCTTTTAGTGCATATGTCCACAATAACCATTTACTCAAACACATTAAAAAGTACAAAGTGGATTTTCAATTCTCTCAAAGCTTTCTGTTCTTTCCTTTCAGAGTACTTACCATGGTTTATAATTACATATTCGTAATTACTTCACCCATGTCTATTTCCCTAATAAACCAAGCCCTATGAGGACAGGAATTACGTTTTGTTTACCTCCAATTACCCAGCATCAGCCCAATGCCTGACACACAGTGGATGTTTAGTAAATATGTATTTGGTAATTGAATGAAAGAATAAATACTACTAATGCAATTTAATCTGTTCCAAAACTCAGAAAAAGGAATAAAGCTTCCCAATTCTTTTTTATAAAGCCGTCAAACGCTAACACCAAAATCTGACAAAGAATATACACAAGGAAACTATAGATCTATTTCTTATGACTACTGATACTAAAATCTTAAAATACATGTGCTGGCAAAAAGAATCCATCAGGACGTTAAAATAATTACAGAGATCAATTAGGGTACATTCTAGGAATGTAAGAACTGGTTCAATAAATAGGAAATCCATAAATTCAGCTAGCCACATTGACAGGTCAAAGTTACCACGAGGGGCTGCTGCAGCATGAGATGACGCAGGAGAGCCTTGCATCAGACTCTCTAAAGGAAGTTACTTCATAATTCTTTTCCAACAGATGATTTAAAGAAGTTTTTGTTGCTGCACAGTATTTTTTTATTTATGTATTATTTTGGCCACACTTAATCTAAAAAACAAACTGATAGTTCCAAAGAAAGCTGTTAATTTAGTAACAGAAAAATGGCCTACCATAAATTGTTTAGGGGAAAGAAAAGTAGATTACAAAAGAGAAGGGTATGTATATATGAAAGTCTTAAGAACATACAGCATGATTTAAACAACGGTTATCTTCTGTTTAATGCTTAATGCTTTATGTTTCTTGTTTGATTATCCCCCCATCACCAGATTGTTAGCTTCAGGAATGCAGGGAATTTATCCTTTTCCATGCTGTAACCCGCCTGCCCAGTACACAGTAAGGTTTCAATAAACATTTATGTAATGAACCAATCAATTCGTATTCCAGATCACCTCATTTCTCTACTCAAAGCCCTTCAGTGGCTGCTCGCTGCCCTCAGAACATAACACACACTTCCCGCCAAGGCCGTGTGAACGCTGAGTCTTGCTTAACTCCCATACCTCACCTTGATCCACCTCCCGATTTATGCTTATAACCACCTTCCCACTACCCTGGGAGCTGATTCAAGCTGTTTGCTCCTTTCAGGCCTTTGCACTTGCTGTTATTTCTGACTGGAATGCTCTCTCTCCCATTCTGCCAAGCTTAGCTCCCTCTCATATTTTAGTGAAATCCAGAAGTTATATTATACCTTCAGATAAACCTTCTCTGATCACCCCACTAAAGTAGGCATTTTCTTTAAAGCACTCATTACAACACACAACTGTTTTGTCAGTGTACTTTTGTGTGTGTGGGGGGGACCTTCCACTAAACGGAAGGTCCGCAGAGGCAGCTACTCTGTCTTGTTCACACAGTCCCTCAGTATCCAGTAGAGCTCCCAGCACCACGGTAGAAATCCAATACTCCACCAAGTTATCTTAAGTGGGTCAAGTACAGGTAATTTTTGTTTTACTTTTTATGGCTTTATGTATATATACCTGAGATTTTACATAAGCATAAACATAATCTGGGGGAAGTAAAGTATTTTCATTTTGGAAAAAAAATCTCCCATTGCCCTACGTAGAAGTTAGTTTTTAAAAATGATGACAAATAAGAGAAAACAAATGGAAATACCATTTTCCATAAGCCAAAATAATACAAGAGACTCCATAAAATAAGGCTTCTCTATGAAAAAGTGGAAAATACTATGGAAAGAAGAACGTGTGATTTTCATAAAAAATTTTAAAATATATTTAAAAAGTCTGCCATGTACAAAAGTTTAAAAATAATCATGGACAGAAAAAATAAAATCCAAGGTACCGCTTGCTATTATTTGAAGTGCAAAGTCCATTTGGGATCACTGCTTTGTATTTCAGAAGATCATCTGAAACACAAGTGGACACACACAGAAGAGCTGTAAGAAGAGATGCCATCTGTCCGGCAGCCCCGCAGGGGTCTCCTCCCCACCACCACACCCACCGAAGCCCATGGGGAGCTCTGTACATCCGTAAGTACACAGACCCACCTGCCCATCACCTAGTTCGGCGGCCCCATGAAGCTTCACTCCCTAAAGCCCCCGAAGGTGGGACACCTAGACCCGCCCTCCTCCCAGCGCTCAGGCTCGCCGGCGGGTGGGAGCCTCCGGCTGGGGGTGAGGGCCGACCCTCCTCCTCACCTCATGGTGCGCGGGGGAGGGGGCTGTGCCTCGGCCCTGCCGGCCCCTGCGGCCCCCTCCCGCCAGCGAAAGTCAGTGCGGCCGCGGCGCGAGGCTGCGCCTTTTAAAAGTCAACGAGCTCGGCAGACCTCGAGCCCGCACACGGCCGGGAGCGGGGCTACGGCTGGTCCGAGGGCTGGGCAAGCCAGCAGAGCGGCCTCGTCCTCGGTTTCTGACGACTCCCAGTACTGCGAGTGGGCAGTTTTCTATTTTACAACGATCGCTCCAAGCTTCAATTTCCTCGAAGGTCTGGCCCGCAGGTTATTCAGTAACCATCCCAGACTGCAAGTCCCGACCTTACCCAAAATCTATGTCTTTTCACCATGATGACCCCAAGGTACTCTGACTACTGCCGCTGTAAGGCTTTCTCATTATTGTCTACGTAACTCACCGGCTACAGTTTCATGGGCCTTTGTTATGTAATTTACAAATGTAAAAGGCCTACCGAATAAGGTTTTGAATACTCCATACCTACCCAGGAGATGCTGATACCAGCATCCTGGGGTCGAGATGGGGGTGCTCATCCCTTTCACTAAGCCACCCACCAATAACAAAATTCACCAAAAATAAAACTGAACGTGGGTGGGGTGGTGGGAGGTGTGTGTGTGAAGTGTCTGGCCTGCTCTCAGAACATCTTTACTTTTGGCCCATGTTTTAACTAATAATGTGAGATATCCATATGCATTCCCTGGGCCACATCTGCATTTGCTAGAAGAAAACTAATCAGGAGTTCCCAGAGAATCACAGCTGCTACGTACTGTACAATTAGAAAACATAGGGAAATCTTAACTCACAAAGCAAATGACTTGAATTCACACAGAATCATGTAGACTAATTACTACTTAAAACAGCAAATTAACTTTGGGTACTTAGATATACAAAGGGAGAGAAATGCCTTCTTTTTTTTAAACTTAAAAAAGTTATTTCCATCGCAAAAAATGAGTTATACTTATGTACTGACTTTTTCACTTAACTGCGGCTTGCTTACTTTTAGACTTAATATTCAATTTTCGAGGACTGTTTTAACATTCTCAATATCCAATCCTCCTGTAAAAAGGATTTCTGTAATCAGACAGATACTTAACAATCTTTCACCTATCAAATTTTGCCATCTTTCTTGCTATGCTGTGTAAAACATCAACACATTCTTTGGAGATCATACTTTCCACATGCCAGCATCTTTTACTAGAATCATTTCAAAGTTTCTATGCCATTTTCAAACATCTGTATAAAGAAACTGACCTTTTGTTCTGGCTCCTCATCAAACTAGGTTTACTAATTTGTGTTTTAGTATTAAACTATCAGCTGCAATGAAAAGGCTGCATTAAGCTCGTTACTGGATTTACTACAAGGATATTGTTAAGTAGTTCTGTCCTTCTTACAAGAAAATCCTAACAATAAATTTCTCTCAGATTCAATTACATTTTAAGACCTGCTCTGGATTATTCTGATGACTACCTATAATAGAAAGTGACACTTAATCCAGCCATAACAATGATTTTTTACTGCTACCATCCCTAGATACATCTCATCACAAATATTGTGGGCCAAGAACAGGCCTCTTCACTAAGGTGGCTCACAGAGAAGTAGGGGATAACCACAGGGTGAAGCAGGTGCTTCCACTGGTCAAAACAGGCCTCAGGAGTTGGGAGTCTTGAGTATTCCTTCTCCTAATGAGGGAGCAGGTGTACCCAAAGGTTCTAAACAGGGTCTATTTCACCATACCAAGGAGGGTAGTGAGTCTTTAACACAGAATATTACCAAGGGATTTAGGTTATCCAATTAAGTGTTACTAAAATCTTGTTAAGAGAAAACAGAAAGTATACCCCATTTCTTATAAAATTTATAATTAAAAAAACTGAAGACAAATTTAAAAACAAAAACAAAAACAAAAGGTCAACTAAGGTAATTAATAAAAACAAAAGCTGGTTCTTTGTGAATAAAATAAGCAAATATAATCAATAAAAAAGGAAAAAATATAAAAAAGGAGGCTACAATAAAAAATATGGGGAAAAGTTTCTAAAATTATAAATTATCACACACTATACCAATAAAATTGAAAACTATAAAAATAATGTATTAACACTGGTTTAATTGGAAGGAATTGGAATAAATCAGTTATGATGAAAAAACTGAAAAAGTGGTCACAATCTTACTCCTTTTCTCAAAAGACCAGTTCGAGTTTTATTGTCAAGGTTCACTTTTCACTTATCAGATTATGAAAAATCCACAAGTTTGGCAATGCAGTCTGTTGGGCAAACTGTGGGAAACAAAGGAAAAGAAAAGCAAAAGACCAGGAGAGAAGATTTACTATGAAGATTATAAAGATTTATTTATACATTAAGATAAACAGATCAACAGAATATAAAAATGGAAATTCACAGTTCAGGAATTATGAATAGCCAATAAACACATTTCAAAACACCTTCAATTTACATACTTAAAGCCAAGTAACCCCAAGCAAGATAAATATACATTACAGTAAGACAGTAGAAAGCTAAAAACAAATAGAAAAATATCAAAGCAGGCAGAGAAAAGAAATTGAGACTGACAGCTGACTTTTCAATAATGGAAACCAAAAGACAGAGGAGTAACAGCTAAAAGACAACTGCCAACCTAAACTGTTATATTCAGCAAAAACATCTTCCTTAAATGACAGTGAAACAGAGATTTTCAGGTAAACACAAACTGAGAGAGTTCATCATCAACAGACCTTCAATAAAAGTTATTCCATAGGATATACTTTAAGCAAAAGGAAAATAGCCCTATAGATGGATGGTCTAAAAAATAAAAGAATAAATGAGTAATACAGAAAGTAGCCAAAACGTGGGAAATATAAACAAGTACTGACTATAAAAACACAACAGTTATTTTAAACAGGGCTCCTTCTGTCTGGTAAGAATATTTTTTAAAAAATTGGAATACATGATGGTAACATGCAAGTCATGATGGGGCTGAATGAAGTCAAACTTCTAAAGTTCTTACATTGTCTAAGAGGAAGGTAAATATATTGGTTAGTTTTAGATATTGAAAAATCAAGGATGCATGGTATTTCTATAAAAAGGAAAAAAGGATAAAATTTCTAAATTAGTTTATGGGAAAATGAAATAAGGTATTAAATCAATATTTAAAAAAAAAGAGAAAATATAAAACAGCTAGGACAAATAGAAAGCACAAAATAAGAGCAACTGTAGTTAAATAAGCTATATGTCCCAGTTAAAACTATTGTAAAATTGCATTAAAAATTCCAATAGATGCTCTTTTTTAAGAGACATATCTAAAATATAGAATTGCATATGAATGTTACAGCTATCAAAAAATAGTAAGTGAAAAAACAAAAAATAAACAATCAAAGAAAGAAATGCATGTTAGAGACAATCACAAAGGCAAGAGAGGATTCACCGAAACGGCTGATACAACTGATTAACTACAGGCAAGGTGAATGAACAGAATGGCAGAGGGAAACTGGGAACACAGATTCACAGTATCAGAAATGAAAAACGGTGACATAATTACACACATTCTTCAGACATTAAAAACAGGAAGAGGGCACTTTTAACAACTCTGTGCCAATAAATATTAAAAATTTAGACAAAATGGACAGAGTCCTAAAAAACTAATTTACCAAGATGAACAAAATTTTAAGAATTTAAGTAATCCTGTAACCAATAAAGAAATTAAATCACTAGTCAAAAATCTGCCACCATCAAAACTTAAGACCTAACTGGATTCAACGGTAAATTCTACTATAACTAATTATCCACATGAGAATAAAGTTAAATTATAGCTACACTCCAACTACACACAACAACTCCAAGTATACAGACATGAAATAAAAATCTTTAAAATCAAGAACTTCTAACACCACAAAGAGAAAAGGAATTTGCAACCCATTTAACTATCAAAAGATTAATACCCAGAGTATGTTAAGCAGTCCCACAGTTCAACAACCCAATAAAAAAACAGAAAAATGGACAAAGTTAGTACAAGAAAAAGGGGGGAAAGATCTCTACAGATAGGATATAAAGAGATGCTAAGATATAAAAAGGTACTCAAACTCAGTCAATAAAATGTAAATTCAAATAAACTGATACCAGTTTTCAATCTATCAAACTATCAAAACCTACAAGTTAAGCACATTCTGTGAGGGGAGGCTCTAGGAAAACAGTCAGTTTGGTATACTGCAGGTAAGAGCGCAAAATCCAAGGAAAAGCAGTTTGACAATATTTACCAAAATTTCAAAAGCATTTATCTTTTGATACAGTAATAACAGTTATAGAAATTAATTGTACAGAAATTTCCCATACAAAATGACAAGTCCGGCGGGGGTGGGTACAGCTCAGTGGTAGAGCACATGTTCAGCATGCACGAGGTCCCGGTAAAATCCCCAGTACCTCCTCTAAAAAATAAATAAATATGTAAACCTAATTACCACCCCCCAAACAAATAAATAAAGTTAAAGAAAAAAAAAAGACAACTCTACAAAGTCACTCCATGCATCTTTTTTTTTAACAGCAAAAGATTAGACAAAACTCGAATACTCTAACTAGTACAGACTATAGGTTAAATAAACTGGTACAGCCACACAACAGAAAACAGTTTTCCCTACTATGTGGAATGAGCCTACTTCCTATATTTCCAGAATATACCGGTAAGTGGAGGAAAATACTGGAGCACAGCAGAAA